TGATATGTGTGTGTGTGTGTGCGTGCGTGTGTGTGTGTGTGTGTGTGTGTGTGTGTGTGTGGGTGGGTGGGGGGGCGTGTGCGTATGTGCGTACGTGCGTGCGTGCGTGTGTGTATGTGTATGAGTGTGAGTGCGTACAAGTGGGAGTGGTGCGTACGAGTTTGTTTGGGGCAGAATGCAGTCGCGCAAACAGGGGTGCGCACAACCCGCTGCCACGATCAAGGCAGTCCATCCGCTCGCTCTGGTGAATGCAGTTGTGGTAACCACTTGTGATTCACTTGTAGAACCGCAGAGCACAGGCCTGCCTTGTTTGCTGGTGAAACGCAGTCGGCGGCGACCAGGATGCGTCCGGTGCAGCAGTGCACGGTGCTGCACACGCACGAACGCGCAAACGCACACCTGCAATGCTACGGATAGCTTCAGGTTGTAGTCGTTCACGGCTCTGAGGATCGCGTCCGACGCTTTCTGCCACTCCTTCTGCTTGGCGTGGGCGCACCCAGCGTTGTACAGGGCCGCGCTTGCCTCCTCGTTCGTGGGCTTGAGCCCCATTGCGGCGTTAAAGAGTCGAAGGGCCTCTGCATAGTCCTTCCTCTCATTGAACGCCTCCAGGCCCTCCTCCACGGCCTGCTTTGCTGATGTGGGCACTGGCTTGGCCACCTTGGCAGCCATGGCACGCACGGCTGATCTCCGCCAGGGCCTAGAACTAAACGTTGGACAATTTGACATCGATTGCGCCCGTAGAGAGGCCCCGCGGGCCGCGGACAGCGGGCCCATAAGCATGGCGATCTCTGGCCACTGCTGGGGTCCAAGCAGACGTCTGTTCCGACGAGCCTGAGTCGTTGAAAGCAATACTAAATTGCAATTGAACGCAACAGCCGTACCACGACAGTGATGCACTTGTGTTGCGATGCGGGCTTGTGATGCTGCTTGCGCTGTTGTGGTTCCAGTTGCATCAGTCTGTGTTCATGATCAAGAGCCGCCAACAAACATGATTTTTGTGATGCTCACAACTAGTGGTTTGGTAAGAAGGGGCTTGGGGCCGACGGAGCAAAGATCAAGTAGCATGCCTGCCCACCTGCGTTGACTCCGTTTGACTGCCCTCTTGGCTGCTACGTTGGCCAGCAAACTCGCTGGACAAGTCATTGTTACTCTTGTTCAAATTCAGGAGCCATCATGCCGCGTGTCAACTGACATGAATGTCTGCAGACCTACTCTGCCTGTGGGCGAACGGTGCGCCACGAAAGTGCGCGCGCCTTGCGGCGCGACGCAGGGGCAAGTCGACGACAAGCGCGCGAGCGAGGGCATGTGCCGGTCGGCGGGGGCGATGCGGCTGAACCCGCTGGCCCCACGATGGGTGCCAGCGGTGCAAGCCTTTAGTACAGGTCGGTGGTGGTGGTACAATCTGGCAAGCAACGCTCTGAGGGCCCTCCGCCAATGATGCGGTAATGTGGTGTACAACGCCCCTTGTTTAGCGGCGCCCAGTCGCGGTGCATCATCGCTGCTGCCCCAGCAGAGCGTACGCCGCGCGAGCGGCGCAGCACGCGCGGGGCAGAGAGGGCGCACGCCGAACAGCATTTATTGTTTTGTTTGTGTGAAAACATTGAGGTGCGGGGTGCGGGCGACAGCGAATGGCGTGTGCGTATGATGTCACATGCCGCGTTGCCAAGTCCTGGGGGATGCTGGTGGAGTTGACGAGATTCTTGTCATTCCGGGGCCCAACCCGCTGTAATCACCACGCCGCGGGCCCCAACGGAGGCGTGCAGTGGTGGCGATGAGCGCGTGCGTGACAAAGCAAAGGGGGGTAATGCGCTTTGCGTTGACCGCTCTGCTGGCGAGCCCGTTGAACTTTCCAGGGCTTCCTAACGCAGATGATACATCTTGAGGTCGCTCAAGGATCAAGGTGCAGGCGGCACCTTGACCCTTGGTGGCGGGCGAAGGCGGGGCCCTTGAGGGTTGCCGCGCGGCGCAAGGCGGGGGCAGGCGGGGGTTCACTTCTTTGGGGCGACGGCTGAGGCGACACGCGGCTTGTCGGCAAAGAAGCGCTCAATCAGGTCCGCCTCCGTCTCGGTAGGCGCGGGTGCGGGGCCGCGCAGGGCTGTAACGTTTGGGGGCGGGGAGGTGAAGGGGGGAGTTGGGCATGTGTCAGAGGCAGCGGCGTGTGGAAAGCATGCCTGGCAGGCCGGGGCGCGCCTCGAAAAGGAAATGTGGGGTTTGCTTTGGGCCGCAGGGGGGTAGACGCGGGAATGTGCATGCATGACTCGGGCTGGCAGCATGCGCGCATGTCAGCTGCGGCCTGCTGCCTGCGTGTCGAGGCGTGAGCTTTGTCCGGCGCCAAGGCCTGCCCCTGCCCGGTCTAGGACGGGGCGCGCACCTGCCGCGGCCAGTGTGTTGTGCGCGGCCAGAGCGCCGGCGCGAAGCAGCATCGCGCTGTTGGCGGATCCGAAATACTGCGGGTTTGGAGGGGGGGACGCGCGGCGAAAATAGCAACGGCGTTGGTGTCATGCGCGGCACGCCTGGCCAGGCGTGAAAGCACGCGTGCCTCGTCGAGGCGCAAAAGGGGCTGGCGCAGCTGTATGTGCACCCGCGGGGCGTCTGATCGCTCCTGGCTCACCTTGGCGATCATCGTGAGCTCGCTGGGACCGAGCATGTTGGCTGTGCTCAAGTTTGTTTTGGTGCGAGGACCGAAAAATGCAACAACGGCAGGGACAGCGGTAGAACTTTGATTTTGAACCTATTTATTAAATCAAAACGTTTTTGTAATACTCTTCAACTGAACTCGCAGGTAAACGGACTCAGCCACGTGAATGAGGACCTGCAGGGAAGTTGCCTCACTTTTGGAAGGGTCTTTCGCACTGTTCGCGCCTCAAGCCAACCCTGAGTTCAGCCTGGGCCATGTGGGGACATTTGGACAAACACTCATGCGCCTGTAAGCACAGTCATTGGCTCACGTCTCAACTTAAATTGGGAGTACAGCTGGCAACTGGCGCCCAACTGCCAGTGAGGTACCAAGGCGTACCTCGCCGGCCTCGCAGAGTCCACGAGGAACTTACTCATCCGCCAAACTGAGCGCTCGATTGACGCTTTCCAGCTTTCTGCATCGCAGTCCCGGCGCACTGCAGCCAGCTCTCGGCCCGTTTTCCCGCCATGCAGTGCCACCTGTTGTGCGTGCATCGACACTGCCGTGTATGGGTGCCCGCTTCATGTAAGCACGGTGAGATCGGGACCACGACAGCAAGCGTTTCGTTCCACAACTTTACACACACATTACCAATGACACTGTCGCTGAGCGATTGCAACCGGTGCCCCGTGAGGCGCGGCGCAAGCGGCGTGCGGCGCGATGCGGCAGCGAGAGCGCTACTGCTCCATGTTCTGGCGGAACAGGGAGCGGATGCTGCAACCCTCTGTATTCACTGGGCCAGGTGGCCCCTGCAAATGCAGTCGGCAAGAACATCAATCAATACCCATTCAGCAAGGTTCGGGCTGCAGCCAAGGCTGTCAGCCCCGTGCGCCTGCTGCCGCTGGGGCGCCGAACATCAAGGAAATGCCTCCGACACACCCGCACAACCAGGCATTCCTGCGAATCCAGCGTGCGTGTGCGTGCGTTCTTGCCATGCGCCCGGGCTGCGAGCGGGGGTGGTCTGCTCTTGTCCCTATCGAGTCCTCAACCCAGCCTGGTGCTTCATGCCCAGTGTTTTGATGCCTCCCCCCCACCCCCCAAAAAAACCTTGGTGCATCTCAGCACAGGCAAGGCTCAAGCAGAAGGAAGCATAAAAACGCGCCAGGTTCGCTTGAACGCCACATGCCGTATGTCGTGGGAGGGGTACAGTATCCGCGGTGGGAGGGTCAACGCTGCTGCTTTGCCAACAAACAATGCGGGGTGCCCCGCAATGAGAGTGTGCGGGTGCGGCCTCCGACCTCGCTTCGGTCAATCAGCAACCAGCTACAGGCTCTGCGCGTTGTTGCCCATGCCGCCATGACGGCGCACAGTATGAAGTGGCCAAGATTTGGAGGAGGTTCGGGCCTAGAGAGGAACCACCGCCCGCCGCGCCGGCGCCACGCCCCTTGCAAAGCTGGAGCCCTGCGGGGCCCGGCGAGGCGCGCACGTCCCTGTGCGGTGGGGTCTCATCACTGCACAGCTGAGCGGCGGGCACCTCCCAGTGCTTCGCGATGTGCGTGCTGGCGGGTCGTGTGGCGGACAACCAGGCTGGGTCGCACCAATCACAATGGCAGACTCGAGTGTGTAGGCCATAAGGCGCACCAAGCAACATTCTGGTTGCTGGCGGCACAGAGGCCCCTGGGTGGGGGCGTGGCGCCACCAGGGGTTGGGTAGGGAGCGGGCGAGGGGGCTGTGGCTGGGCCTGGAAATGCTCAGTTGTCACTGAGGGGTGGCTCTGCAACGCTCCCGCGGGCTTGATGTTCGCAAAAGAATCGGTTGATCAGCCTCCGCTCATATTCAGGGTGGAAATGCGAGCCCTGACCTGCGGGGTGTCGATGGGTGGGGGTGGTGGTGTTGGCAAGGGGGGTGACAGGGTTGGTGTGGCGGGTGCGTGGAGGCTTGGATGATTGTCTAGGTGGTTGTCAGGAAGTGTTTGGGGTGCAATCCCGGTGAGACGCTCAAGCAGTCAGGCAGTGTTGTTGCAAATGGAGCTCATCGAACAATCCATAGGCTGCTTTCCATCACAGGGGTGACTGGGGTGTGCGGTGCGTGACACCCGCGATGTGTCACTGCGCAAGGGGTCCGCGTGCACTTTGGGGGGGGGGGGCGCGCCGGAGCAAGAGGAGGGACCCACCAGCGCCTGTGCCCGCACGGCTGCCGGACGTGCGCAGCATGAGGCTGCTGGCGGCTGGGGAGGCCGCCGCTCGGCCGAAAAACTAGGGGTGTGGCAGGCGCAGTGGGGATGTGAGCAGGGTGGAGTGGAGAAAGGTGATGCATAGGTGGGGGCGGCCGGGGCTCGGGTGGGTGGCGCTGTGTAAGATGTATGCTAATGAACATTTTTGAGCAAAAATATTCCAGCGGCTGCACGGCCTAGGCTTGGCGAGGGACGTTCCACGTCGCATGTTGCACTGGTGCCGCCTGGCGCGGCAGGCGCTGCTTCTCCTGATCCCTGTACTCCACCCCATAGGCACAAATAGGTGAGATTGAAGGCTTAAAATCTTACCCGCGCGATCATCAGCGCTTCCTGTGAACCGGGCATGACTTCGATGTGTCGTTGCCGCAACAGAATGACAACAGCAACTTTGAACGACTGCTCAATCCCAACGATCTTGTGAGAGGAAGTTAAATTTTGGTCTGAAATTGTTCAGGGTGGGCCAGGACATTTCATGCGCTGGCTTGTCACACTTGTGCATGCCGCCGCCCGAAAGGTAGGCAAATGAACGTCCAAAAATGTGACAAGCGGTGATGGGTATCACGATGGTGAATCCTGGCTCTTCCCTTCCAGCTCGCCGTCAGTGCGCGAGTCGCCGCCCTTGGCTCATAAGCTGATCACGCTGGGTGCGCCCGGGCATGGCTTCCAAAAGCGCCCGTAGACGCCTTCCCATGCCACACCCATACACCTGGCCGTCCCTCTGCCCGGGACCTGTCAAATTTACAGGCCACACAGTCCCTGCGGGCGGCCTCGACCGATTTCGTTGCGCCCGCACCTCACGGCCGCACCGTGGTGACACGACTCACCCGGGTGCACCTCACTCCCAAGACTCGCAGGGCCCGCGCGCCTGCAAATGCCCGTCAGTGCCCCAGGGAGCGGCGTGCTTTCCAGCCGCCCGGCGTAGGCACGGGCAGCATCCCCGCCAACAGCCCTGACGTGCTCGCGGGCGGCACGCGCGTCTCCCCAAAAGCCGGCCTCCGCGCGGCAGACCAGGGCTGCCCCCGCCCACGCTCTTGCCCAACCCCCCAAAATCCGGTGCGGGTGGATACTCAAGGGGTCTAGGCCTACTGATCTAACCGCTACTAAGAATCATGCAACGAAAATGATGACGAAAAACAGCAATACAGAGAAAACACACGCAGGAGCCAGCCCACCCTACAGCTCCCAAGATGCAAATCAGCCGCCGCTGCGACCGCTGTGCCGCGATGTTCCGCGCCCCGCGCGCCGTCACCGGTCCCCCGGCCCCGGCAAGAAGTGCAGCCCGCTCTGCTGCCCACCGCCGCGGCCGCCGTACAGTGTATACCGCCGCCCCCCGCCGCGCCCAAACCCGCCGCGGCCGCCGCGGCTGCCGCCTCCGCCGCCACCCGCGCCGCCGCCGCCGGCTGCCTCCTGTTGTTCCCGCTTGTCTGCCTCCAGCACGAGCGCCTTGATCTGAGATCTCTCCGCCGCCTCTGACTGCTGCTTCTGCAGCACGCGCGCCGCGAGGGCGGCGGAGGCGGGCACCTTGGGTGGGGCGATGGGGATGGAGGGAGGGAGCGGGGGACAAGGAGGCGTTGAAGTGGCGTTTTGTCATGTCTGGGGCGTGGCGCGTCACATGGCTTCGATGTCGTGGGGCGTGGGAGTGTCCCGCGGTCCGCCAGGCACTCTCAACGGCACAGCGCACAGGGGTTGGGTTTGAGGGTGGGGGCTTCTGGGCTGAGACACATCCGGGTTGGTGGCAAGGGTGTCCAGCGAAAGCAAGCCTGGCGCGAGCACATCCCCCAGCACGCGCCTGCGCGCGAAGCGCCCTCCACCTTAGTCCCCCCCCCTTCCGCCGCCAGCTGCCGCGAGCGGCGTGGCTTTGGGCCCCAGCCACAGTCATCCTATATGGACACATGCACACACCATCCTGTGAACGCACATGCTCGCACCAATACACACAAACACACACACTCTCTCTGTCTCTATCTATCTCTTTGAAACACACACACACACACACACACACACGCGCGCGCGCGCGCGCGCGCGTGCACCACCCCCCACCTGCAGCTCCTTGCTCCTGTCCTCCCGGCCCCCGCGCTTCATCAGTATCCGGAATGCCACCTTGGGCCCGCCCCCCCCCCCCCCCC